ATACATAAACATGCTCATTTTCATATATACTTACATATATGTGAATACTTTTTAAAGATAATTCCAATTATACCTGTCCATATTCTCCTATTTCAATTCTACCATTTACACCCACTCTAGCTCTCTATCTGTATAGTGATTGATCAGGACAAGTGTTTAAGCTGACACGAACTGTTTAAAAACATAACTGATTCAGATAAGTGATAGATTTGGGCCATTCCTTCATGAATGAAACATAAGCACAAATACTTTGCAACAATCTTACGCATTAAGATCACTCCTTATTAATCATCCCCTCCCACTTGTGACTGTATGACTATAACTTTGTCGCTTGTATCCTTACGATTTATATTGACTGTTTCCTAGTATGATTTGATTGCTTATTATACCCTATATTATTAAGTGTTGTACCTTATGATTCTTGGCTCTTGACAAATGTATCTTTTCTTTTATGTACACTAAGAGCATTTGCACCAAGACAAATTCCTTGTGTTTCCAATCACACTTGGCCAATAAAGAATGCTATTCTATTAACTGAACTGTTTCTTAACATCAATAAATATCTAAACAGAAGCATTGAATATTAAGCATTTCTTTGATAGTAGGTTGTAGGTAGTAGAAACCGGAGGAACCAATATTAATGGGGAACAAACTTGTCACTGAAAAGTGTGAGAATATTTGCAAAGTATAAAAGTAATCTCCTCTAGGAAAATGTGTCATGAGATGTATATAAATAACATTCTTAGAGATTCCTAAGCTTCAGCCTTGGATTTGGGAGTTGAGCCAAATCCTAATACTATGAGCATGAATTTCTTATTCAGTTATAAAAGATTCTGCTGGGACTACAAAGACTTCTCTGGATCAATTTTTCCATTATCATATTTCTGCCTCTTGGAGGGGATCCTTGGTGCTCTCTGAGCTTGGTTATTTTCTTGCAGACATTTCATTACCCAAACTAGGTAACATCATCAGTGCTAGTCAAGTGCTTATGTTACCTACTTTGGGAAATGAAACCTTTGTATTACCCCTCATTTCAACTCTGATCTACAAATATTCTTTTTTGGCTTCTTTCTTTTGAATTTTGCGAAATTTTGAGTCTTCCTGTGATTTTATCCTGCTCTATTTAAACGTGTTAACTGTTCTTTGCCAGTCCTGATTTTTATTTCAAATTGGAATTTGTCATTTGGAACAGAATAGTCATCATGGGTGGTATACTCATTTTTTGTTATTGCAAACAAAAATAAATCCAACTGGGAAAGTTTTTAACTTTTTCGTCTTACCTGCTTTGAGAGATTCATGGGTGGAAATTCAATTTGAATAATGTCTTCAGTTCTCTATTAGGAAGATCAATTCTATGGAAATATCTAACAGCTGAATTCAAGGACATGAAGGCAATCTGCTTATTTATTCTTCAGGTAAACTGTAAAACTTTAGATGCTTATACACATGTGTAAAAAGGGACGTGGTGGCTCAGTGACTAAGATGCTGAGCTTGTCGATCAGAAGGTTGGCAGTTCAGCGGTTTGAATCCCTAGCCCCATGTAACGGAGTGAGCTCCCGTTACTTGTCCCAGCTTATGCCAACCTAGCAGTTCAAAAGCACATAAAAATGCAAGGAGAAAAATAGGGACCACTTTGGTGGCAAGGTTCTGTGTGCCTTCGGTGTTTAGTCATGCTGGCCACATGACCACGGAGACATCTTCGGACAGCGCTGGCTCTTCGACTTAGAAACGGAGATGAGCACTGCCCCCTAGAGCTGGAAACAACTAGCAGACATGTGCGGGGGAACCTTTATCTTTACACATGTTTAAAATAACAATTTTAAAATTAGTACAAATATGGCTTCCAGTTGTTTTTTCAACTCAAGAGTTAAAAAAACTCATCAACTCATAATTTCTTCCATCTGAACATCAGGAGGGGTAACTCTGTGATAACAGAACAGAACTAAAATAAATTTAGTGTGGAGCAAAAGCTGGCAAAAGAAAAGGCAAGTTCAAAACTGACTGAGATCTGGATAAAGACTGCAGAAGGATAACATTCCAGGAAAAAAAACACCTCAGTGCACCCATATAAAAGAAGATAAAAATGCACCGGGGAATTGTTTTTCTGGAATGTGTTCTGTTCTCTCTCTTCTGTTCTAGTGACAATGTCACAAAGCAAATACTAATAGTAGTTTAATTTATTATGCATTTACAAGAAGAGCAACAAAGATGATTAGGGGACTGGAGGCTAAAACATATGAAGAACGGTTAAAGGAACTGGGTATGTCTAGTTTAATGAAAAGAAGGACTAGGAGATGACATGATAGCAGTGTTCCAATATCTCAGGGGCTGCCACAAAGAAGAGGGAGTCAAGCTATTCTCCAAAGCACCTGAGGGCAGGACAAGAAGCAATGGGTGGAAATTAATCAAGGAGAGGAGCAACTTAGAACTAAGGAGAAATTTCCTGGCAGTTAGAACAATTAATTAGTGGAACAATTTACCTCCATAAGTTGTAAATGCTCCAACACTGGAAGCTTTTAAGAAGAGACTGGACAACCATTTGTCTGAAGTGGTATAGGATTTCCTGCCTAAGACCTCCAAGGCAAGGGTGTGATTCAACCGGTGTTAGTACCAGTTTGGTGACTATATTTTGCAGCCACATGTGTAAAAAACCTTAAGCTGTGCCGCCAGGACAACTAAAGAGTGCTGCGCGTTTGAAAAGCCACTTTCCCCCTGCTTTTTCAACCTCAGCTGTGCTGCGCAAAGCAGCTGAGGTTAAAAAAGCACAAAATAAAGGACAGGTAAGAACACGGGCAGGTGGGTGGGCCAAACAGCAGCAAACACAGAACCGGGTTCAGTGTCTGCTGCTCTTCAGAGCCACCGGTTCTATAGAGCCGGGCAGAACCTGTAGCATCCCACCCCTGCTCCAAGGTCCCTTCCAACTCTGTATTTTCGATTTTATTCCATTCCGTTCTGTTCTATTCCATTCCACTCCGTTCTATCCTATCCTATCCTATCCTATCCTACCCTATACTACCCTACCCTACCCTGACATATAACAAAATAATAACTGAAACAACAATGCATTACAGGTAGTCCCCGACTTACAACCACAATTGAACCAGGAACTTAAGTAACAGTAGATGCTAAGTCCATGTGACTGGGCTCAATTTTATGACTGCTTTTGTGATGGTCATTAAGCAAGTCACTGTGGTCATTAAATGAATCACAAGATCATAAGTCTGAATCCAGCTTTTCCAATGGACTTTTTTTTGGTGATCATATGTCCACGAGACACTGGAACTGGTTATAAATGCAAGCTGGTTGCCAACCACCCAATATGCAATCACATGACCACAGGGTGATGCAGCAATCAAATTTTCAAGGATGGGTCATTGCTAACTTTTTTTGAGTCCAGTCAGAAGTCGGCAACTACCTGTACAAAGAGAGCCATCTCTGAGTAAACCATTTTGGAATTTTACATTTTTCTCAGGACCTGAATTCATCTACCTCTGCACATCTTTTGGGTACAACATCACTTGGACCATATTCCAAAAAACATGTCCTATGTGCTTTCTCAATTTTGTTTAAGCCTCTAATTCACTTACTAGTTAGCATATGTCTGATAGTGGGAAGTTAAAGGCAGAAATTTCCTTCAACTGAGCATATGTGCTAGTGACTACATCAAGACATCCATGTCCAGGCAATAATATGATCAATGCTTGACTTCACTTAGGATGTTTACACTATATAGATTATATACACAGTATGTAGGACTGCAAACTTACATTTTGCCACATCCTGAAAAAAAATGATTCCAATTAAAAAAACCAAAGACCACTTATTTCAATATCCTTTATCTGATTAACATTGACTAACAGAGTCTATTTCCATAAGGATACAACACACCTGTTTTTATCAAATACTAGTTCTATAACCTCAAGAAGTTCCTTTCTAAACCACAAATGATTGTTTTAAAGCCAAACAAATGCACACATATGAAAATATACACTGTCACAGAAGTTACATGGAAATTGTACAGAACCTGAACATCTGATAAAGGAGAATATTTATAGTTCAGGGTTGAAATGAAGACTAACTGGTGTTCTCTGAGTTTGGCTGTTTTGTTGCAGACGTTTCGTTAGCCAAACTAGGTAACAGTGCACTTATGATGTTACCTAGTTTGGCTAATGAAACATCTGCAAGAAAACAGCCAAATTCAGAGAACACCAAAGACTGCTCAAACTGATATCTGATTTATTATCTATTGTATTTTAAAAAGAATTAATTTGAAAGGATCTTATGGAATGATATGACCCAATAATATGAAACTGTTCAGGGATAAAAATGACAGTTCTACTTTTTTCTTTTCCAGGTAGTTACCTTTTGATCACTGATCTTCAGGCTAGGTAGAATAATCACAAGTGGCATAACAAAAAGAGGAAGAGCATGAGATGTTTTGAAACAATTTATTACTCAGGAAATAAGAATAATTTGTAGGAGGATGGAGAAAAGGATTAGTGAGTATAAAATAAATTTCTCCTGTCATTGCATTTAACTCAAGGCATGCTTACTTGATGGAAACTCAACAAGTCCCATTAGTTCAGGTAAACACCTTAGACGGCAGACTTGATGAATGGCACTGAGACAGAAAGTAGAATCAATCCCAATTAATAGTTTTAAATAAACACGGGAGGGAATTTTGTCAGGCCAAGAGTTCTGAGAGGGATTGCATTTTTTAAAAAGACGAAGATGAGGAACACAAATCCCACCAGCTAGCTAGGACCCCCTCACCGCTTGTCTTAGAAGATATGGAAAGTATAAATCCGAAGGCAGATTAGGTGTCTTTCAAGCAGAGATCTGAGGGACGTCTTTCATTCAAGAGCGTCCCACAGGTGAATTGCTCGCCCTGTTTCAGACGGAGCCTCTGCTTCTTCCTCTCCCCCCACCCCCAATTCTGGTTGTGCACCAGGAAGGAAACCCAACCAACCAACCAACCTGAACCGCTAAAATGGCTTTACCTGGTAAAGGTCCCTTACCCCGCACCACGTGCTCAGGGTTTGGTGGCAGCCCCTCACTCTCTGCTCGTACCATCTCCGGAGCGCCGAGACGGTCAAGTTCCACACGAAACGGCTGCCGCTAAAAAGGAAATCTTCCACTCCACACATGAAAACTGAAGCCATCGTCTCCGATCCGGCTGGTTCGGAGCCTCCGTCCAACGAGCTACGCTGCTTCCTGCCTCGAGTCCCTCGGATATTTTTTTCTTCTCAGATTTGACAAAAAAAAAAAAAAAAGCCCCAAACTTTTGCAAAGGCAGGCAGGCGCCTTTTATACCGCGCAGCACGGGAAAGGGTGGCGATGGGGCTATGAGGTCAAGCCATCCAGACACAAACTCGCCTTTCTCCCTGTTTCCTGGGCAGACTGGCGTGGCTTCAAGTCCGGCCAACGGCTGCGGTGGCTCCTCCTGACCAGGAGCGCACAGAGTAGCTTTGTGCCCTTCGGAACAGCTTAGAAGATAAATCTCCCTTAAGCTTCTGGAGCTACCAGTATGGGCTCTAATTACACGTTTAACCCATTTCTGGAGTGCACGCCTCTCGCCCGGTCCCTCATCTGAACGCCGAACACTCTGGGGCGTGCGTGCGAGCGAGTGCGTGTGCAAGACGAGAGCCACAAACAACCCCTTTCAAGTAATGCAATACTCTTCCCGCCGGTGCCCTCCGTGGGGGAAACTCACTGGGACAGAATGCGGCGTTTGAGACTCCTCTTAAGCCGCATCTCAACACCTCTTTATTTTTCTTTCTTTTCTCCGTTCAGCCTTTCCTCCTATCTGTTGCATGCAAACAACTTCAAAACCGTTTGATTTTAAAAAAAGGAAAAAAAAAGACGGTATCCTTTCCCTCCTCCCTGTCAGCCAACTTTAATTCTTAAAACCCATTGAGCCCATCCCAATGAAAACATCCCAATGAAGACCCACGAGACCGTATAAAACTCTCTCGGAACATTATATTCCTGACTAAAAGGGAATTAACTCCGATCCCCCCCACCCCTTGAAACAGAGGTTAATCCTATTAATGCAGCGCATGCAGCACGAAGAAAAACAGAAGCTGAGCCGTGCAGACTGAGGTAAATAAACACTCTGGGAAATGGCAGTCCCAAGAGAATCGCAGGATTCCCTCTGTAGTTGGTATAAAATTAAGCTGCGCAGCGGAGCCCTTTGGAGAGTTCAGCCCTCAGCGCCAAAAAATGTCTTTCATTTTATAGGCAATTTCTTACAGATTCTCTCTCTCTCTTCTATCTATCTATCTATCTATCTATCTATCTATTTATCTATCTATCATCTATCATCTATCTATCTATCTTCATTAGGAGTCAGCTAAGGAGAAAAAAGATCTTGCCTTTTATTATTCATGAAGTCAGAAGCTGTTGCCTTAAGAGTGAGGAGGAATAGGAGTCTGGACAGAAGAAGACAAGTATTCAGAATGAATCAAAAATAAAATAATTGGCCGAAGAATACCAATTGTCATAAAGATGGTTAGTATCACAAACTTAATTAATGGATACTGCAAAGGCACATGCTGTTTTTCTGGCATTCTGTCAAACTCCATGTGAATTCTAGCTTTAGACATGTATTTGCTAGCAGAGCTACTTATTTGTTTACAACAACATGCCTCCAACAAAAAAGAACATATTTTGATTCAAGACCAGAGAACCTTATTTAATGGTTAAAATACATCAATTAAAAAACTCTGACTCACTCATAGAGCATTCAACTGGATGTCTATATTATGTAATGGAGAAACTTGTAGAATATTGTATAAATACAGTATGGCAACTTGGTTCAAATGTGGTACCTTCAACATGTATCAAATTCCCACTCCCACTGGGATAATGAGTGTAGTAGCTGGGTAATGGAGAATGTTTGGGGAACACCAGATATGAAAGACTGCAATAAGGCAGAAATTTTTAAAGAATGAAGATAAAAGATGAATTTTTAAGGGGAACTCTTAATTCAAATTCATATTTTTAAAAATAGTTTGAGAAAGTAAGTAGTCCAAGACTTCGCCATGTGTCTTGTGCCCAGGGCTATTTTCAACAGTGAGCAGAGAGGAAAAGTATATGAGGCTAGCTATGAACAGCCAGGATATTAATATTTAATTAAGTAAAATGAATAATGAAAGCAAGCACTGACCAATCATATGCTTTCTTCGAGTTCAGAAGAAAGTTAGCACATTCCCACATTTCTGTTTTTGTTTCCCCCCTTCAAAATGAATACATATTGTTGAGTTTTTATATGTAGCTTTCTCTCTTTTTTTATAAGTGCTGGCAGACATATTCAAGCCACTTTCTCATCAAGTAGAGCACTTCAGAGAAGAAAAAGGAAGCATTAAAAAGATAATCTTTATCAATTTTGAAATTTTTCTGAAGTTTCATTTCATATAGAGTTAATACGTAAATCTTAAATATGAAGAATTCTGGTTTCTTTTAATTTACTTCCTAACCTTAGAATTTTCAAATAATTAGCAACTATTCCAAAGTAGTTTATTACAAATATGTAAATTGTTCTGCTGAATTTTGGCAACAAATTAATGGGAGTTGGGGTATTCTAGGGCCCAGGTAGATATTGTAATAATAATCTCACAGCAGTTAAATAATAACTCTATATATCTACTCAGAAAATACTCAGATCACCAAAGCTTACTCTAAGATAAGTAAACTTTCTCATAAACTAAAAGCCCTTTTTAATTCATTTGGTCAGCTTTATATAACAGCTGGTAAGTAAGGTGTCTCTGCACAAATGCATGCAGGCATGAAAAAGAACAACCTATGATTCCTCACCATCCAAGCTAGCTCACTGCAACTTTGTATGGAAAGCAACTTCATTTTGAATGTACAAATTTCCATCACTGCTATGTGATAGAAATCAATACAAAGTCTAGAATAAAGTAGAAAGCAGTTCAAGATAAGAAAAACAAAACATAAATATGGTCAAGCAACTTATAAGTCTATGTTTGGGTCTACCTTGGGGAAATAATTGCAATGAAGCATTCCCACCTTACTGTTCTCACTGTTATTCATCTGCATAATCTTATCTTATTGAAGAAAGCAGTCAAAATGGGCACTTATGCATTTTCTAGGTTCCTCTCTCTCACACACAAATCCTTCATAGTTACAGATAAATTCACTAATATTGGACATCCTAAAAAAGGGAGAACCAAACCACTTCTAAATGGTCCACATGAGTCACCAAAAATCAATCACAACTCAAAAATAACTTGACATTTTGGTTAGCAATTAATCCACTTGTAGATATTTTGGTCACACTTTAGAAAAAGATTCTTTGCTTTGATGGAGGTCACTGCCCCTTTTTTATAGAAAAATCTTAAAAGGAATACTGACTCATATTATGAGATGGGCGTCTTAAATGAAGGAGCAGAGAAAAAACTAGGATGCCGAAAAGATAGAAAAAGGCTTACTATAATTATGTCAGTCTTCTGTGGGGTAGGTGGGAGAAGATTAATAGAAGGTATACATCACCTTGAAAAGATCAGAAGAAAATGGCTGCTTCATATTTTTTGATGAGCACTCTGTCTGACACTAGTTCAACAGGCTGCATTTAAGAAAATAACTAACTTTAAGTAAGTCATAATTACAAATAAAATGATATAAATATAGAAGACAATGTAGGGAAGAAAATTGGAATTGGAGGGGGGAAAAGGATATATCTTTTAACTAAAGTTTGCTACTGATTTTATCCAACCAATCTGAGTGCCTCATTATGTTCTTGAATTCTTCAGCCCACTTTCCCAACACATCAGGTAAACACCAGTTGAAGGCTGTTTATACATTTTTTAACCAGCATGCAGCATTTGGTTGATTTTCCTGTCATTAGTTTGCTTCATAAATTGTATATATTCTGTATTCATTTGAACAATATTGGGAATGATAGATACCCTATATATTTTTTGCCAATTGAACCAGCGGAGATGAAAACATATCTGAAATGTGGAAAGTAAAGACTGCATATATGCATCAAAAGTGACTTAGAAGATATATTTCAAATCTTCCATGAGTGCAGTTCTCTCTGATGCCAATTAAAGCAGCTATGTCTTTTTTCAGGCTTCCATCTGTATATACGAGATCTAAAGGACCTGGTCCAAATCTTTATAAAAGTGTGCACAACTTGGGCATGTTCAGTATGTGCTGATCTTCGTCAACTACCACTCACAGCAACACCCCCAGGGGGTTAACTCTCTGCTTCCTTTAAGTTGTCTAATGGGGAAACCCACCTCATTTTTCCTTTCTCATGTCCCACGTTTTGCTGAAAATATTAAAATTGCAATGTTTATAAACAAAGGGACTTTTTTGTCATGATAAGTTAAAGAGGACAGAAAATTCTATTTAATTTATAAGCTAGTTTTCTATGAGTGGGGGACTTCAGGACTTCAGCATACTCAGTGATCCCTTGATTTATTTCTCATGAACTGTGAAGAAAATAGATGTTATTTCATTTGATTTGTGTATTCATCTTTCTTACATTTGTGACTCTGGGTGGCTCATACAAAGCAATAAAACCCAGAAACAAAATCTCCTTGATAAAAATGGTTGCACACCAGGGGTGTCAAAACTGGCAGTCCATGGTCCGGATGCATCACACACAAGCCACCCAGCTCTGCAAAGGAGGGGGAACTTCGCAAAACGCCATGTGATGGCAACATGACATGGCAAGTTTGACATCGGTGTTGTACATGGAGAGAGAGCGAAATTCATTGAAGATGGGCTCTAGCACAAGCCCCAAAGCTTGGAAGAATAAACTTATGATCCCAATGACTGACTCATATTGGATTCTGAAAAATGGTTGTAAATTTGAGTCTGGTTACATAATGACTCAACTTACAGCTGCAATGACGTAAAACAAAAATTCTGGACTCAATTGTAAGTCAAGGACTATCTGTATACCAAAGTAGCTCTCAAGAATCTGCAGAGTTTCCCTCAAAGTTGCTACAAATCAGATCCCTAGGCTTTCCCATCCTCAATTTCCATAAAAACCTTTCTTTCCCATTGTTGTGGGAATGTCCTCTTTTTGTGTAACAAATGCTGAATAAATTAGTGGATATTTCCTCTTAGTGTTATGAATTTTCCATGTCAGAACAATTTCACTAGTCTGATTACATGGGATTAAAATATAAAATATCACATAATGAAACCATATAAGATGAACATTTAATGAAACCAACAGTACCAATAACCCACACAAAAATGTAATATAAAGTATTTCTACTTTAACCCTTTAGTTTTACTTTCTAGTTCCCCTTAATTCTTAAATGTAAAATCCCTGAGAAAAGAAAAGGGCCCACAAAAGGCGAAACTTTATTCCCACGTATCATGTGTAAGGGTGCCTTTCTAAGCTGGATCATCTGAAGCAATACGATCTTTTAGTTTCTGTGTCATAACAATTACAGATAGGTAAGAGCAATCTGTTGAGAAGATGTTTGGGAACAGTGTTATAATATTTCAGGTTGCAAAGAAAGCTTAATCCTCATTATCTGAAGGCCTATGCTTGTGTTTGTGAAAACTTCCATTGGT